TCTTTTTCTGAGATGGGGTTATTTAAGTATTTTACTTCCTCTTTGTTAATCTGGGCAATTTATATTTTTGTAAATATGTATCCATTTCACTAAGATTGTCAAATTTGTTGGCATATAGTTGGGCAAAATAATTCCTAATTATTGTTTTAATTTCCTCTTCCTTGGTGGTAGCTTCACCCTTTTCATTCTTGATACTAGTAATTTGGTTTTCTTCTTTCTTTTTTTAATTAAATTAACCAAAGGTTTATCTATTTTATTGGTTTTTTCATAAAACCAGCTCTTAGTTTTATTTATTAGTTCAATAGTTTTCTTAATTTCAATTTTATTAATTTTTCCTTTGGTTTTCAATATTTCTAATTTGTGTTTAATTGAGGATTTTTAATTTGTTCTTTTTTCTAGTTTTTTTAGTTGTATGCCCAATTCATTAATCTCCTCTTTTTTATTTTATTTATGTAAGCATTTAGAGATATAAAACTTCCCCTAAGAACTGCTTTCACTGCATCCCATAGGTTTTGGTATGTTGTCTCATTATTGTCATTCTCTTGAATGAAATTATTGATTGTTTCTATGATTTGTTGTTTGACCCAATCATTTTTTAGGATTAGATTATTTAGTTTCCAATTATTTTTTAGTCTATCTTTCCATGGCCCTTTATTACATATAATTTTTATTGCATCATGATCTGAAAAGGATGCATTTAATATTTCTGCATTTCTGCATTGGATTGTGAGGTTTTTATGCCCTAGTACATGGTCAATTTTTGTGTATGTGCCATGTACTGCCAGAAAAAAGTATATTCCTTTCTATCCCCATTCAGTTTTCTCCAGAGGTCTATCATACCTAACTTTTCTAATGTTCTATTCACCTCCTTAACTTCTTTCTTGTTTATTTTGTGGTTAGACTTATCTAGTGCTGAGAGGGGGTTCAGGTCCCCCACTAGTATAGTTTTGCTGTCTATTTCTTCCTGTAACTCCCTGAACTTCTCCTGTAAGAATTTGGATGCTATACCATTTGGTGCATATATGTTTAGTAATGATATTACTTCATTGTCTATGGTGCCTTTTAGCAGGATGTAGTTTCCTTCCTTATCTCTTTTGATTAGATCTATTTTTGCTTTTGCTTTGTCTGAGATCAGGAACTACCTGCTTTTTTCACTTCAGCTGACGCATAATATATTCTGCTCCAGCCTTTTACCCATACCCTGTGTGTGTCACTCTTTTTCAGATGTGTTTCCTGTGAACAACATATTGTAGGATTATGATTTTTAATCCATTCTGCAGTCCGTTTCCATTTTATGGGAGAGTTCATCCCATTCACATTCACAGTTATGATTACTATCTGTGTCTTTTTCTCCATCCTTTTCCCCCTATTTATGCTTTTCTTTCTCCTTTTTCCTTTCCCCTTCACTAGTGTTTTGCTTTTGACCACCGCCTCCTTCAGTCCCTTCCCCCTTTTATTATCCCTTTCCCTTTTCTTCCCCTTTAGTCTTACTGCTTCTTCCCTCCCTTCTTCCCCCCTCCCTTTTCTTTCCCCTTTTCCCTCCTACTGCCTATAGGGCAAGTTAGATTTCTATACCTAACTGATTATATTATGCCCTTCTTGAGCCAAATCTGATGAGAGTAAGGTTCAAACAATGCCCCCCCCCTTCTTTCCCTCTGCTGTAATAGGATTTTGTGTCTTTTCCTGTAATGTAATTTACCCTTGTCTGCCTCCTCCTTTCTCAGTACATTTTCTAAGATCAGATTGATCCACTTATTTGGATCCATTTAACCCACTTGATTAGATTTTTTTTTATCATTACATCAAAGTCAACTAATATCCACCCTCTTTATGTATACTCCTTTAACAAGGTGTAATAACAATACAGTTCTCAAGGGTTGCAAGTCTCATATTCCCTTGTAGGGGTTTAAACAGCCCCCCCCATTAACAACATATTGTATCCTTCTGTCCCATTTACCTTTTTAAGTCCTTCTTGAGTCCTGTACTTGAAGATCAAATTTTTTGTTGAGCTCTGGTCTTTTTATCAGGAAAGTTTGGAAGTCTCCTATTTGTTGAATATCCACCTCCTCCCTTGAAAAATGATGCTCATTTTTGCTGGGTAATTGATCCTTGGCTGCATTCCAAGCTCCTTTGCCTTAGGAATATCATGTTCCATGCCCTGCGTCTTTTAATGTAGAAGCTGCAAGGTCCTGTGTAATCCTGACTGTGGTTCCATGATATTTAAATTGTTTCTTTCTGGCTGCTTGCAGCACCTTCTCTTTCATCTGGTAATTTTGGAATTTTGCTATTATATTCTTGTGTTGTCAATTTGGGATCTCTTTCAGGTGGTGATCGGTGGATTCTTTCTATGGTTATTTTCCCTTCTGGTTCTAGGACTTCTGGGCAGTTTTCCTTTATGATTTCCTGAAAGATACTGTCCAGGCTCTTTTTTTCATCATGATTTTCAGGTAGTCCAATAATTTTTAAATTGTCTCTCCTGAGTCGATTTTCCAGGTGGTTGTTTTACTGATGAGGTATTTTACATTTTCATCTATTTTTTCATTTTTTTGTTTCTGTTTGACTGATTCTTGCTCTCTCATAGAGACATTAGTTTCCATTTGTCCAATTCTAGTTTTTAACAGATTGTTTTCTTCTGTTAGTTTTTGTACTTCCTTCTTCAACTGGCCAATTGTGTTTTTAGGGACTTGTTTCTTCAGTACTCTTCTGTTAGTTTTTGTCCTTCCTTCTTCAATTGGCCAATTGTGTTTTTTAGGGACTTGTTTTCTTCAGTGTATTTTTTTTCCAATTGGCCAATTGTATTTTTGAAGGACTCTTCTACCTCTCTCATTTGACTATTAAAATCCTTCTTGAGCTCATCTAAGAAGGCTTTTTGGGCTTCAGACCAGTTCATATTCCCTTTTGTTGTTGCAGATGTGGGTTTGTTGACAATGTTGTCCTCTTCAGAATTTCTGTCTTGATCTTCACTCTTCTCATAATATGAATCTATGGTATGTTTCTTTTTACTCATGGTGTTTCTTTATTCCCTGGCCTTTAAAGAGATTGAGCTCTCCTGCTGGGGAACAGAGGGTACTGACCCAAGCTTCTTGTGTTGGGAGCCTAGGTCTTGGTCACTGGCTTTGCGTGCTGGGGCCTCTTGTTCTGGGAATTGGAGGCTGTAGGTTTCTGGCAGCTTACCTTGTGTTGGGCTGGAATCAGCAAGGCTGGAACTTTCAGGCAATTCTAGGTTGCCTGCTTTTCCTTTCCTTTAGCTTTCTTCAGCTCCTTTTAGAGGGGTACTGCAGGGTGTTTATCTTCCTGGGGCCCCTGCAGTGTTGTCTCCCTGTTTCTGCTAATGCACTGGGAGATTCCTTTGCAGTGGAGTGCCGAGGCTCCTGGTGGTTTTCTGAGCTGGTTTCCACCGGTTCCCCCCACCCTCACTGAGGCACTCGGAGGTCCAGGTGTTGGTGTTTGCCTGCTCTACCACCTGGGCTTCAGAATTTCTTCACATTTGGAGGCTGCAGGGCTCCACAGCTCACCTGGTGTTGGGTTGGAATCAGCAAGGCCGGGCTTTAGGAAGTCTTTAGGTTGTTTTCTTCACCTCCTTTCAGATGAATGCTGTAGGGTACTTGTCGGCCTGGGGCCCCTTGTAGTTCTGCCTCCCTTATTTTTTCTGAGGCACTGGGAGACCCATTTGCTGGGCTGCTGCACTGCTGCTCTCCGTCTTTCTTCTAGTCAGGTGTTTCAGGGTTTTTTTTTCTGGGGCGATATTTTCTGGGTTTTCAGAGGTTTATAGGGGAGAGTCAGAGCGACTACCTTTTCATTCCGCCATCTTGGCTCCCGGAAGCAGATGTCCGATCCAGTGATTTAAACTCAGGCTTTCTGACTCAAAATCCAGTGTTCTTTTCACTGAACTACATTGCTTCTGGACCTGACAAGTCCAAAATGGTTCATCCAGCCTTTGTTTGAAAACCTCTGCTGGGGGGAGTACCTATTACATACTGAAGCAGCTCATGGCACTTATGGATGGCTCTTTTAGGAAGTTTTTTTTACATCCAGCCTAAATTTACCATTTCTACCTATTACTTTGAGTTTTGCACTTTAAAGCTGTCTATGATAAAGACAGTAACGAACAAATGCTAGTGTTAAAAACATAGCTACTATTTCATTTTGGGAAAATTTTTGTTTATTCTATAATCCTTAGTTTTAAGAATATATTATTAGTGGAAATTTTAGTCTTTTTAATAATTTGTAGTATATTGCATTTTTAACTTTGTTTAATAGAATAGACAACTTTGACTTATTCATTTGTTCTCTGTTATTATAATATTGTGAGTCATCAGACACTAGTCTCCAGAAAATTAGAAATTAGTACTACACAGATGCAATGGAGAGGCACATGATAGATATGAATGAGCTGCAACAATGAAAAAATAAGTTTTTGATCCTCCTAGTGGGTAGTAGTATAGTCTGTGTTCTCTAGAGATATCCTTGTGATGTTGTGAAAAAAATGAAGGAGTTCATTTGGTCAGCTCTTTGAGAGAAAGTGTGGGAAAACATAGACAAGTTTCCCATAGGAGAATCAGGCATGAACAGCTTGTGATCTGTACCATTGAAGGAAACCTCAAAAAACTAATGAAATCATTAATCCATTTAAGTATATAGTAACAGGATATAGTAGGAAGAATTGTTTTCTTTAGGTTTTTTGTGGTATGATACAGATCTCTTTTCTAATGTTGAATTATGTTGTATTTAACCAAATAAGAAAATAAGTAACATACTTCTATATTTCCCATGTAGTGGTAATTCTAGTTCTTCAACAGAATATTGAAATTCTGTGATTGTTATTTTATCTGTTAAGAAGTGGCAGATCAAAAGGAGTTTTTGTTGAGTTTTTTGGTCTGATTGTTATGTAATATCAAATTACTAACAACTTATCTCTTTTCAGTGATAGTTATTTGAAAAGTAAACACTCTTCCGTCAGTTTGCCCAAGGTGATATGGTATATCCTTCTCCTTTTACAGATGCAAGTAGTAACAGAGTTTAAAACTGAGCGGGAGCCAAACTGTTCTGACCCTGATGCAGAAGGAGTAAGCCCTGCTCCTGTGGAGTCCCAGACACCAATGGATGCGGATAAGCAGGCCATTTATAGGTAGCTGCTTCAACTAAAATACAATGTATTCGGTCTTTTTGTTTAAATTATTTTTTATTTTAAATATGCTGGGGCAGGGGCAGGGGAGTGGGAATATATGGAGTAGAAAACATTCACCAGAATGAAGAAATTATGTAGATTGTTATGAAAGATAAAATGACCTTTTAGGTGAAAATTTTCAGATTTAGTATTTCTTATGTCTGCTAATTTTGAAATATATTAATTGTGATAAATTTCAAATTGATATGTGTGATAAATCTTTAGCTTGAAGTTAGTTAAAATATAATAACTATAATTTAACTTATAATGTTGGCTTTTTAAATTTCAGTGCTTCATATCATAAGATACCACATTTTAGAAATGAGATAAGTTTTAAATAAGCTTTTAAGCTCATGCTGCTTTTAATTTAGGAAGTCAAATTGTTTGGGGGAAGATTATTGGGGCCTGAATATGTTTATGTCCAAAAAAAGAACTACTATCCTTGGTAAAGTCTTTTAATTTCATCACATAGTTCTGCAGTTCTATTGAGCTCTAGATAGTTTTCCCCCAGGTCTTTTGAAAGACTGGTCGTTTCATTTAAACATGCCAACTTATAACTTGATTCATTTATGATCATCTAACTTGTTTTCAAGGTGAAGAAGTGGCTTTTTTCTAGGTCTTTTGGGTAAAAAGTGAGTTCATTAATTTGCTGCGATATAAACTTTTTCTCCACCTTCACAAAATTATAGTTAATGAGATAAAGCTAGAAAAATAATTAGCTATGAACTTTTAATAACTAATTGTTTTTGTTGTTTACTTGTTCATATCTGACTCTTTGTGACCCTGTTTGGGGTTTTCTTGGCAGAGAGACCATACCGTTTGCCATTTTCTTTTCCAGCTTATTTTATAGATGAGGAACTGAGGCAAACAGGGTTCAGGGACTTGCCCAGAGTCACATAGCTAGTAAGTGTCTGAGGCCAGATTTGAACTCAGAAAGATGACTTCCTGACTTTAAGCTCAATACTCTATCCACTGAGCCACCAGCTGCCCTTCTAATAACCAAAAGTGAGGGACAGCTAGGTGGCGCAGTGGATAGAGCACCGACTCTGAAGTCAGGAGGACCTGAGTTCAAATCCGACCTCAGACCAAACACTTGACACTTACTAGCTGTGTGACCCTGGGCAAGTCACTTAACCCGAATTGCCTAAAAAGGCAAAAAACAAATAAATAAATAATGATAATAACCAAGAGTGAGTGGTGAAGAGTGTCAGGAGGATTTCCAGCAAAGATAGTGATGTGATAGATTCGGTCTAGCTCCCCTGAGAAAGTCTCAGAAAAATTAAAAAAAAAAAGAGAAGCACCAAGTGAAACAAAGATTCAGTAAAACCAAAGAAAAACACCAGTAAGTTACTTCCTACATTCCAAGACTGCACAAGAAGATGGTCAGAAACATGAGGTCAGTCCACATGGGGCCCCACAAAGAGGACCTGAAGGCAACACTAGCTTTCACAGATCTTGTCTGAAACCAGAGGGGTCTGAGTCAAGGCCTTTTGGAGCCATAGCAAAAGATGTAGTCAACTCACCATAGATTATGCAAGGAGACTGATGGCTCATGTACCCAGTGTGCCTAGAGGCACTGCAGGAGGCCAGCGAGATCTCTGACTTTGGGTTGATACCTGTCAGGGTCAATCCAGGAACAAAGCAGTTCCCAGTAGGTTGATTACATATGGAAAAGGAGATGGAGCTAAGGCCATTGCCAGCATTGGGCTCAAGAAGAGAGAGGCAGAAGGCAAGACCTGCTTTACTCTCCTGGCCCAGCTCCTTGTCTAAAACTAAGGCTATAGAAGAAAGCAGGAAGAGGATCAGGACCCAGCTACCCCATTCAGTACTACAGCATGGGGGAATAATAGCATCCAAATTACAGTAGGGACAGGACCTGGGCCTAGCCACTCTGTCCAGGAGTAAGAAACAGGACAGAGCCTGACTGGCACAAAGTCCCAATTCAGCAACTAAGGACAGAGATGTGAGCAAGCAGAGGAAAACTCTAAATACAATACTATGGAGTTTTGAAAAAAGGCCAAGAGCCAGAAAAAGAATAGCTCCACAATAAAGACAAGTAGAGGCTAAGAAAAAAAAATGACTTAGCCTCAAGGACTTCAAGAGTAGATTAAAGAATAAAGCAAAATATTTTTTAAAAAGTGAAATTAGAACACATAAGAAAAAAAAACAGTTGGAAGGAGAACAGCTTAACATAGAAAGTGAGAAGCCTTAAACAAATAGTAGGCAACCTAAAAAATAGAATGGAGCACCAAATCAATAATAACCATAGAACTGCAAATTACAATTGTGAGGTTCCTCATCACACCCAATGAATTGACAAAGGTAAGGAAAATTAAAATGTCTTTTATTGAAGGGGCTATGGGAAGGCAGTCAAACTAATGAACAACATATTCCTGGAGATGTGAATTGTTCAAACTGTTCTGGAAAGAAATTCAAATCTGTACTCAAAATGTCACTATACTGGACATCACCTTTTACCCAACAGTACTAATACTGGACATATAAAGAGTTCAGACTGCAAGGGAAGGTACTCCTACGTACAAAAAAATGTTAGTAGCTTCATTTTTTGTTATGACAAAACCCTCAAAGTGGGAACCCATTGACTGAATAAAGGCTGAACAAATTATTTTTTATGAATATAATATAAGGCATAGTGTGCCGTTAAAGCTAGCAAGATGTGGGTTTAAGTCTTATAACCCTGGCAACTCTCTAAGACAAGTTATGAGAAGGAATTGACCTATGTTGGTCAAAAACTGCATAGAAGCAATTTCTTACTTGGGAGTTCTATAACCAATGAAATCACAGGTCCATCTCCTATACCTATCCTAAAGAAGAAGGAGATGGATTCAGAAAAACTTGGGAAGACTTGTATGAAATAATAAAAATTATTTTAAAAAAAAAGTAACAATAATATATATAATGGGGCATGTTCTGGGCATACCTAGGTGTCTTACATGGAGGCACTCTATATCCCTAATCATGACTGGCATAGGCTGGAAAAGTTTACATCTTTAAAACTGGACCAGACTGGCAGAAATTATTCCACAATATATTCTAAGTGGGAATGTGATCTTAATATGAAAGATCTTACTATAAAAAAATTAGAAGAGAAACAGATCATATACCTCTTACAGCTATATGTAGGGAGACATATTCTTAACCAAAAGAGATAGAGGCAATTACAAAAGATAAAAGATAAAATAGACAGCTTGAGTACTTGAGACTGAAAAGCTGCACAGACAAAATTAATATTTCTGAAATAAGTAGGGATGTGGTCAAATGTAGAAAAAAATCTTTGTGTCAAATTTCTCTAATAAGAGTCAGATATCTAAGATATGTAAACAATATATGTGTATATACATATATGACTAATAGCCATCCTCCAGTAAGATAAATGATCAAAGGATGTGAACAAACACTTATTAAAAGCACTGTGAAATATTCACAACTACATAAAAGACTGCTCCAAATTTCTAATAATACAAGAAATGTAAATCAAAACAATCTTGAAGTTTTACCTCATACCTTGCAAATTGGCAAAAACTACAAAAAATGTCACCAGTTAATATTGGAGAGCTTGTAGAAGAAAAGGCCCATTAATAATTGTTGAAGGAACTGGTACAACATTTTGGAAAGCAATTTGAAATTAAGCAAATAAAGTAACTTAAAATAATCCAAAACCTTTGAGCCAGAGACTCCATTACTGAGCTTATACCCCATGGAAGCTATCAATAAGAAAAAAGTGCCAAAAATATTGATAGTAACACTTTTTTGTGAAGGCTAAGAATTGGAAATAAAATAGATGCCTCTCAGTTGGGTAATGGCTGAATACAAATTGTGGTACGTGAATGTAATGGAGTATTACTGTGCTATAAGAAATGATATGTGTAATGTAAATATAGAGATTAGAAAGGTCTATATGAACTAATGCAGAATGAAGTAAGCAGAGCCAAGGAAAATAATATACACAAAAACTACAACAATGTAAATGGAAAGAACAATGACAAATCAAAAATAAATTTAACAAAGTTACAAAGATCAAGTTGTACTTTAATAAAGAGCTATGAAGGGACACCCCCAACCAACCTGTTTGTGGAAGTGGGAATTCCACAGGTGTTACATATTGAATTTGTTTTCAGACTTTTGCAGTGTATCATCAGTTGTGCTGATTTTTTTTCATCTCTAAAAATACTATTTGTCATTTGGGATGGCTGTCTGGGAAGGGCCAGGGAACAGATACTTGGGATAAGTGTGGTGATTAAAAAACAGAAAATATCGATAAAAACTTATTTAAAAATTTTTTTCAGACAGGGCTAGTTGCTTTCTAATAATAAGAGATGTAAATCAAAATGACTCTGATATTTCACATCATGCCCTGCGGATTGGCAAAGATGATAAAAGATGGCAATAGTCAGTGCGGTAGGGATTGTGAAAAGACAGACACACTAATACATTGTTGGGGGAGCTATGAATTTGTCAGGCAACTAAGTGGTGCAGTAGATAGAGCACTGGGCCTGGAGTCAGGAAGACTCATCTTCTTGATTTCAGATCTGGTCTCAAACACTTACTAGCTGTGTGACCCTAGGCAAGTCACTCTACCCTGTTTGCCTCAGTTTCTTCATCTGTAAAAAGAGCTGGAGAAGGAAATATCAGACCACTCTAGTATCTGCCAAGAAAACCCCAAATGGGGTCACGAAGAGTTGGACACAACTAAAATGACTGAACAATATCAATAACAAATGCATTTGTCTAGCTATTCTGGAAAGCAATTTAGAATTATTTCTAGCAAAGAAATTGCCCCAGAAATATACACTTAGGAGGTCAGTGACCAAAAAATGTCCTATGTAGACCAAAATATTTATAGCACCTGGAAACATTGTAGATGCTCATGGATTGGAGAATGGCTAAAAAATTGTGGCATATGACTAGAATGTATTACTGTACTGTGGGAAACAGTATGATAAATACAGAGAAACAAACAAAGACTTAAATGATCTAATGTAAAGTGAAGTTAGAATAACCAGGGAAACAGTATATACAATGACACAACAAAAATGAAATACAACAATAAAACAAATTAAAACTGAATGCTGTCAAATTCTAATGACTGCACCTGGCCCCAAAGAAGAAATATGAGAAGACACCTAATACTGCCTTTTTACAGTGCCATGGGACCATAATAGTGGAATAGTGCATGTTTTGTCAGATATAATTTTTCTTAAGTCAGTCAGTTTAGCTGAACTTTTTTCCTTCTTAATTTGTTTTTAAATTATGGGGATGGGGAAGGAGAATGTAGTAGGAAATGAATTGATGCAAAGACAAAAAATATTAAACATTTTTTGAAAAATAAAGAATTAAGAACTCTGATGCAATCACGACAGAATACTGATGATAAAGGGGTGGTGGACAGTTGTTGGGTAGTGAGAGGAATACAGATGAGTAGTTTTCTTATTATTTTGTTAAATTTAACAGATGCTTTTAAAAAACTACATAATCTCAGTTTCATGTACAATCCTCATTTCTGTTCTTTGCATATTGAAATGTTCCTTTTTTGTTACATATTTGGTTTCTATTAAAAAATTCTTAAAAAAGAAAAGAACACGTTAATGTTTATATAATATGGCTTTTCCAGACACTTGTAACTTATATATCATAATTCTATAAACCAGTTTAATTTTTTAAAGCATTGTTTTCTGAGAGTATTTCTAAAAATTGTTGAAGTTTAAAATGGAATGTGGCAAATTTATTCCTTTTTTTTTTCTTCAGACATCCACTCTTCCCATTATTAGCATTGTTGTTTGAAAAATGTGAACAATCTACACAAGGCTCAGAGGGTACAACTTCTGCCAGTTTTGATGTAGATATTGAAAATTTTGTTAGGAAGCAAGAAAAGGAAGGAAAGCCTTTTTTTTGTGAAGATCCAGAAACTGATAATTTGGTAAGTAAAAATTAATATAACAAATTAATGTTTTTATATAGCAATTTAAATAGTGTGTGTGTGTGTGTATATATATATATGTATATATATATATATACACACACACGTATATATAATGACTAACTTTTTTTACCCACCTTATTAATGATATCCATAGTCTTTATGAAACTTACCTTTATGAAACATACCTGTTCATCCCTCCTCAAGCCTCCCATGGTGTCACTGAACTCCACACTCTCAGCTGAGAATTTTGCCTCATATTTCACTGAAAAAAAAAATAAGGCCATTTTCCAAGATCCCCTTTTTCTCCCCATCTCCCCATTTTATATTACTCAGATGTCTTCTGCTATTGTCTCCTTCTTCATCCCTGTCCCACCTGAAGAAGTGGCTCTTTTCCTTGCTGAAGTAAACCCCTCTTCATGCAGAATTGATCCCATTTTGTCCCATCTTCTCCACTAGATTGTCCCTTCTGTCATCCCAGTCACTCATAATCTTCAGATTCTCCTTATCTACAGGCTACTGCTTTGCTACCTAGAAACAAATTCCTCTCCTCCTCATTCCCCCAGTACACCCTTACTTGATCCATCCATCCTGTTTGCTAATGTCTCCTCCCTTTCATGGGTAAACTCCTTGAGAAAACCATCTACAATTAGTGCCTTTACTTCTTTTTCTCTCAGTGTCTTTTTTAAATATCTGCCTTTTTTTCTACTCACAGAGGTTGTCGTTTGTCTTGAAGAGGATCATGACGTCAGGGAGGTGATGCCATGACATGCAAGTGAATTGGATTTAAGTGAGGGAGGACTGTGAAAAGTCACCAGCCTATCAGCCTTACTTTTTCCTCTGGAGCCATCTGAATCCAGTGGCCAGATATAGATCAGGACAACTCTCTTTGGCTCTCATTGATTGGCCAACAGTAGGACCCAGGTCAAGCCCCACTTGGTCGTTGGTTGGGCTCTGATTGTCTCAGAATGAATGTAAATAGAAATTATTTCTGTTTTGGCCAGAAACCTGCAGGGTCTTTCTCTCCCAGATCTAATTTTTTTTTTGACTGGGTAAAGAGGCCATTCTCTGCCTTATCATTCAACTGCAACTGCTCTCTTCAGAGTTACTAATGATGTCTCTCTTTCTCTCTCTCTCTCTCTTTTTTGCTAGGCAGTGGGGTTAAGTGACTTGCCCAGGGTCACACAGCTAGTAAATGGTATGTATCTGAGGCCAGATTTGAGCTTGGGTCTTCCTGAATCCAGTGCTGGTGCTCTATCCACTGAGCCACCTAGCTGCCCCACTAATGATCTCTTAATTGACAAATCTGCTGCCCTTTTATCAACCCTCATTCTTCTTGACCACTCTATATATATAGCCTTTGACACTGAAGATCACCCTCTTCTCCTTGGCACTCTCAGCTCTGCAGGTTTTTGTGACGTTGCTGCCTCCTACCTGTCTAACCACTCCCCAGTCCCTTTAACAGAATTTCTCTCCAGGTCACACCTGTTAACCTTGGGTGTCCCACAGGACTTTGTCAGGGGCCCTCTTATTCCTCTAAACTGTTTCACCTGATGATCCCAATCAGTTTCCATGGTTTCATTTATCATCTCTTTGTGGTTGATTTTTGTGGTGGGTTATTCTCAGATCAATTCACCCAGCCCTGTCCACTCTCCTGACCTCCATTCTCACATCTCTAACTGCCAATAAGCATCTAGCAATGTGTCCAATATTGAAATTCATTATCTTTCCCCCAAAACCCTCCCTTCTTCCTAAATTTCATATTACTCTTAAGGGTACCACCATCCTTCCAGTCACTTGGGCTCACAGCCTAAATGTCTTCCTCATCTCCTCACTATATTTCACTCTCCATATCCAGTCTGTTACCAAGGCCTGCCATTTCTGCCTTTACACCATCTCTCATATGTGCTTCTTTTGACACTGCCACCACCTTGGTATAAACCTTCATTACGTCACTTGGAGTATTGCAGTAGCGTTCTGATTGGTCTCTTCGCTTCAAAACCCCTCTTCACTCCAATCCATTTTCCATTCATCTGCCAAAGTAATCTTCCTAATGCTCAAGTCAAACTATGTCTCTTCTCCTCTTCCCACCCACCCAAACCCTACCACTAAACAGTAAACTTCAGTGGTTTCCTGTTACCTCTATGATCTAATAAAAACTTGGCTTTTAAAGCCGTTCATGCCTTTCTACCTTTCCAGTCTTCTTAGCACTTTATTCCCTCCACATACTCTACAATACAGTCCCCTTGGCCTCTTTTATGTTTCTTCGCTGGCTGTCCCTCATACCCAGAATGCTCTGCATCTTTGTCTCCACCTCCTGACTTCCTTGATTTTTTTTTTTCTTTTGGCGAGGCAGTCGGGGTTAAGTGACTTGCCCAGGGTCACAGAGCTAGTGAGTTATCATGAGTATGAGGCCAGATTTGAACTCAGGTTCTTCTGACTCCAGAGCTAGTGCTTTATCCATTGCACCACCTAGCTGCCCCATTTCCTTGACTTCTTTCAGGTCTTCCATAAAATATGACTACTTAGCAATTGACTTCTTTGCAAATTTCCATGCATTGCATTTTCTTTGGGAATCAACTAGACAAAGTGTAATCTCTTTTACACGTGACAGCCCTTCACATATTTGAAAACATCTGTCACAGCCAGTTCTTGGATTTTCTCACAAAAAAATTATACCTTTTAATACAGTGCATATTGTTACTTCCCTTTTCACTGTTTCTTTGTTTCTTCTGCATGAACTCTGCAGAACTGTCCACTAGTGGGTTTCATCCTGCTGAAGTCTCAGTGAGGTCAAATTTGCTTCCTTGTGTCATAATCTCTGGTTCTTCTTGCTTGTGTCTAACTTTTATGGGTTTGTGTAGAGGCATTTTGAGGCCAGGGACTTTAGTCATTGTTGGATTTCATCTTCTGAATGTCTCAACTTTTAATGATTGTAGTTGTGGTATCTACCTCTAAGGAATATACAGAGGCAGTCTTTTCGCTTTCACTTCCTTTTTAGTTTAAAGTTCTTGGGCCTAGCTTTGTAAGGCTTCAGGAAAAATACATTATTATAAGCGTTGTTAGGCACATTCTGTCTCTGGCCAGGAATCTTATCATCCCTACATTTCATCACTTTCTTAGACATTGCCAGGTATTCAGTTCCCAAATCAGTTTTTCTTCTCCTCTGCCTTCAGTGGGCAACAGTGGGGCAAGTACAACCTGGTGCCCTATGTTTGCCCACAACTTGGTTATCTGTAGCTGTACTTTTTAGGTTTCTTTTGGCAGTATCATTTATATCCAGGTGACATCAGAAGCATTGGTAGTTGTCATGCATTTTGATAAATCTTGCAGTATTCTCTGTTATGTCTTGGATACATGCCCCTGCCTTGGCACCCCTGAGCAAGAAATTACCAGCTACTGTTACTCTTCTTTATCTAATCTTTACCAAATAATTTCTCAACTGATAACTTCTTTATCTGCAATAAAATATTCTTGGAAAGACAAGCAGCTACTTTTTCAACGTGTCTAGCTTCCCATTTTTAGGAGATGCTTCAAATCCGTGTTTGAATTCCAAGTTTAGAGTTGTCCGTTTCCTTCTGTGTTTTCGTCAACTCACCAAACTCCTGACAAGTGTTGTCTCCTGTCTTCTACCTTAAATCTCCCCCACCCCCACCTTTGAATCACTGTGTTTCATTGCCAAGCCTGAACCACTTCTGTTTCCTTTAGGAGTACTTCAATGTCTTTTACAAGCCTGGAGGGTGTCAAAGCATTCTTGAGTTCTTTAACCTTTTTTTTCCAGGAAGGAGATTAGCCTTCATTTGTAACCCAGATAATAGTCACTCAACAGTGGCATCAAACTGTTGTTTAATTTTTCCTACTTTCCATACTGGTTGAGATTTCCATTCTTATCTTTTTAAAAAAAAACTGTTTCTGGGTGTTTATAACTCAAAGGTAAGCATCTGGTGAAGTTTTTATAGCCAGTTATCACCTCTTACTAATTTGACAGACCCACTTATCTTCCTTCTCAGTTCTCAACACTAACTCCACAGCCATACCTTACCTTGCATCAAACTCCTATTTGTTTCATCTAGTGTTAGGGAGCTAGTTTGCTCAGTAGATAGAGCATGGGACTTGGAATCAAGAAGACCTGACCTTGTCCAAATCATATCTTAGTTTTCTCATCTGTAAAATAGACATAATAGTGGCACTTATGTCACAAGCTTGTGTGAAGATCAAATGAGTTAACATATATAAAGCACTTTGCAAACCTTAAAGGGCTATATAAATGCTAGCAATCATCATCATCATCATCATCATCATTTCACCAGTTGGTCTCCCCTAACAATCCATTTTAGCAATTTGTTTTACCTGTAGCTGTCCCTGTTATCATTTCTTATTTATCTTATGTGGTAGTGATGACACTGTCTTACTTAGACTAAGCTGGTTTCCCTTTAAGAGGACAGAGGCAGCCCTCATGACCTGGTTGGTCCCGTATGACTTTCTTTTTGCCTGAAGCATAAAAAGTCCAACCTTTAAGCAGTTGGAATCCTGAGGTTTGATGGTATTCTCACTGCCTTGTGGTAGGTCTTGCTGACTCAGCATTGCGGCTGTAGGACTGGAAGGTGAAGGGAGGGAGAAGGAGAGAAGTATCCTCTATCTTGAGCAACTTTTCCTCCTTATTGATCCTTTTTTATGCTTGACTGAATTTCACTTTGCCAAATATTGTACAGCTGAGGAGCATCTCACTATGTTTCATTGCCAAACCTGAACCACTGGCCTGGCCTGAGTAGACCTGGCTCTGAACACCTTTGCAAAACTACCTTTTCTTTTCCTTTCTCGATTCTACCTTCATGTTTTACTCTATAGTCCCCCTTGATATTCTTTCATCTTTTTATGGCTTCTTTAATTATCCTTTATCTTTCTCTTCTTTAAGACACAGAATAGATGTATGAACTGACATTTGAATTTAGAGAATATGCTTTTTCAAGTTTTTCTCAATTGGCTTCGGATTTTCCACCTTAAATTCAATTTCTGACAGACAGCTTTCTCCCTCAACAGCCCTGAGGTTCTTTTTATTGTCTGTTCCCCCTTTGCATGTATCTTGAATGGTGGCTAGGGGTTGAAGCTACTAGGATTATCTCCCTGCTTGGGTCCAAGAAAGGGGCATTGAAAGTGCAGAGTTGGCTTAAGTGCATTAAATATAGGGTATCCCTTTCTTTTTTCCACTCATTTCAATCCCTACCTATCTCAGAACTGGGTGGGGTTTGATGAGGATAAGGTTTGATAGCCTCTCTCCTGACCTCGACATGAATTCATGTATTTTCAAAGACAAATCATGACAGGTCTAGCGTAAAAAGTTAGAGTTGGAGTAGCTCACACAAAAACAAACAGGTATATGAGGGTGCTGTGAGTGGGGTACATGCTTAATAACATCCAAGAATAAAACATGCTTCTTTGGTTAAAATTCTCCAGTTAGGGTCTTAATGCTACATCAAACTGTCTTCCTCTAGTCAAGGTATTACCGTACTAAAATCTTCTCGTGCTTCTTTAGGGAATTAGGGCTTGGAGGTAATCTCTAGCCAGGCCTGTGTGCCCCACTTCCCAGGTCTAACCACCAGGTCCATGTGCTATATAATGTCAAATTTTTGTAATTCATTGTGGGGCTCTTAATGCAAAAAGGTGATCACAAAGAGGAGTGGCACCAGGAACATTAGAACTATGCCAAACATGATGACATTTTCTGGATAGTCACCAGTGCTCTTCACAGGTCAGGGAGAATTGCCTTTATACCATCACTCACTTAATTCTTTATCCTACCAGCCAGGACCTCCCATTCCCTGCATGCTCTGTAGGAAGAGGGAGGAAATAAAAAATCTTCACCCCATGGGAAACCTCTGAGGGACTGCTCCCCTTTTTTTGTGGGCTATGAGTAGACACTTTCACCTCCTCCTTATTGCCAGAAAAAAAGCCACCTCCCAACAGCGTCACCCCTTGTTCCACTGAGCATTGCTACACTGCCTTCTTGTACTTGGAAGAAGAGTGGTGGGTGCTGCTACTTCAGGGACCTGACTTTGCCCTCCTATTTGAGACTCCCTTCACTATTCCACTCACCACGGTGACTTTTCCAAACCTTCTCATCCCTCTTCAAGCATCCCATGGCACAACCAACCCCAACCCTTTCAGTTGAAGACCTGTCCTCATACTTCACTAAAAAAAAGTTGAGGCCATTCACCAAGAGTTCCCTCTTCACATCACTCAGATGTCTTCTTTTAATTTTTGAATATTTTTCCTAATTACGTGTAAAAACAGTTTTTGACATTCATTTTTAAAATTTTTGAGTTCCAAATTCTCTTTCTCCCTTCCTCTCCTCCCCCCTCTCTGAGACAGTAAGCAATTTGATATGTTATACATGCACAATCATGTAAAACATTTCCATATTAGTCATGTTGTAAAAGAAAACACAGACCAAAAACCCGACAAAAAAATAAAGTGGAAAATAGTATTCTTCAATCTGCATTCAGACTCTATAAGTTCTTTCTCTGGAGGTGGACAGTATTTTTTATCACAAGTCCTTTGGAATTGTATTGGGTCATTGTTTTGATCAGAAGAGCTAAGTCATTCACATTCAATCATCACACAATAGTGCTGTTACTATATACAGTATTCTCCTGGTTTTGCTCATTTCATTTTGCATCAGTTCATGTAAGTCTTTACAGGTTTTTCTGAAAGCATCCTACTCATTATTTCTTACAGCACAATACTATTTTGTCATTGTTCCTGCCCAATAAAAGATGTAAGTTCATGGGCTGAATTATATTTTCTAATAATGTATTCCTTTGTTGTTGTTGTTCAGTCTGTCCAACTCTCCATTACCCCATTTGGCAAAGATACTGGAATGGTTTGCCATTTCCTTCTCCAGCTCATTTTATAGATGAACAAACTGAGGCAAACAGAGGGAAGTGACTTGCCCAGGGTCACAGAGCCAGTAAATATCTGAGGCCAGATTTGAATTCAGGAAAATGCATCTTCCTGACTCCAAGACTAGTGCTCTATCCACTGCACCATCTAGCTTCCCCTAGCCAACAGTAGGAGCTTAATAACATTTGTTAATTGACTGATCCTTACAGTAAGCTGGTATAGTAAGTACTGGAAGTTTCATTATTCCTTTTCTACAAATGAGGAAACAAGTGTAGAGTCATTGTGACTTTCTCGTAGTCAAACGTCTTGTAAGCCACAAGGCCAGCATTCAGACCCAGATTTTCTGACTATGCAGTGAGTACTCTTACTGGGATAGGAGTGTAGTACAGTGAAAATAACGTGCTGCATTTCAGTCATCTTCCTTCTGCCATTTATTACCAGTTTTATCTTAGGCAAATCTCTTAACCTCTCTAGGCTTCAGTTTCCTCATTTGTAAAATGAAGAGATTGAACTAGATGACCTCTAAGGTCCTTCCAACTTTTAAGATCATAATCCTCTAACTTGTATTTCTGAATTTTTTTTTTTTGCTTGTAGATGGTAAAAGCAATACAGGTTCTACGCATACATTTACTCGAGCTCGAAAAGGTTAATGAACTCTGTAAAGATTTCTGCAGTCGCTATATTGCTTGTCTAAAAACTAAAATGAACAGTGAAACTCTGTTGAGTGGAGAACCAGGAAGCCCTTATTCCCCTGTGCAACCTCAGGTACAGTTAAAGCTAATTTTAATAGGATTTCACATTAACTTGTACCAGTTAGATGTGATATGGGAAGAATCTTTGTGGTTTATTTACTTGCAATATTGCTGTATTTTTAAGTTCACATTATTTTTGGAAGAATAAAGTAGATTAATTCACTGATATGCAGCTTTGGTTACAAAGATGTGTATCATAGCATTAATAACTTGTTGGAATATTCTTGACACCAAAGCACGTGAATGTTTTTATGTCAGGAAAAAAGGGGACAACTTGACTTTAGTACTTTTTAAAGTAGCAATCGTCTGCCAGATGGTGATCTTTTAAGTTAAAACTGGTGAGATGGATTTGAAATGTTAATAGAATTGTAGTGGTATCGATAGGCTGAAGATCTCTAAAGTACATAGGAATCTATAGTGATATTAAGGACAAGGAAACAACTTAGGCAAAAGGCTGCTTTAGCCTATAAGCCAATAATTAGTTTTATAAAAAGGTAGCCTGGAAGAAACAAGGCACTAGAGGTCATTCAAGTTTTATATTTTATACTCAAGGCAAAAGACAAGAAATTCAGGTCATACTTGGGATTTAAGAAAGAAAAAAAGCAAAAACTCTAGCCTGTGCCTTAGTGCTGATAGCAATTCAGCTTTGTGTCCCAATTTATAGCAATAATTGGTTATAATGATGACTTTAAGTCATCTAAGAAAGGATTAGTTATTTCGTGTGTGTGTATGTGTTTATGTGTGTGTGTGTAATAATATGGACCTTTCCATCAGAGGGAGTTAAAAAAAGGGTTTAGACTTTTAAAGGGTTAAACTTGCCATTATTCAGGATACTTTATTCCTCAAACATACTAGATAAGGCTTTACCATGATTTCTTATAATAAGAGTTTATATCTGCTGAAAACTCTGAGTTAAAAAGTAGTAGATTTATCAGAGAATACCACTTTACTTACCATTTTTCTTTCATAGCTGCTGGACTCTCCTCATTATAGACACAAATAAGCTCAGCAGTATCATTTTGGTTATGCAGACTGAGAGCTCTCCACAAACTCTAGGTGGCAGCGGATTGTCTTTGAAATTTCCTGAGACAGTATCTTTCAGATAGGGAGTCCTAGCTGGGGCTAGAAGGATAATTTTTGGACTTCTTTAGGCACTCTGAGATAGTATAGAGGGCTTCTGGTTGACTTGATTCAATTTATGAGGACTCCTTTTGAGCAGTTTGGAATTGCTGGAGAGTCTCAAAAACTTTTCTGACATTATGTAGTCTCTAAATCTCTAGGCTAGAAATGGATTCTCTCTAATATATGAAAAGGTTCTCCTGGGCTTTTTCTGGTCCAAATCTGCACCCCAAGTAGATATCTGGGGACTTTTCAACGAGCCTTTATAGCATGACATTAATACTTGGAATCTTGGGACTCAAATATCTTTTTGTTGGGACCCCTAGAGGGCATAATATTAGCAAGGAAAAGGTCATTAAAATTTTAACTGATACTTAAGTTAATGCTTAATAGCTTAATAGTTTAAGCTACTTCTAGTGTTTGAAAATTAGCTTTATCAGAAGAAAAACTGTTTCAGTTCTTTTTATTATATGACTTTAGACCACAAAAATCTCTCCACTCTGGAACGTGGTGGCGGTGGACACTATTAGTAACTTGACTTATTAAGAAGTATATGGCCCTAATTTTTTTTTCACATCATGACCCAGAAACAGACATTTAACACACTGATGATTATTATATATTTAAAACATAGTAAAGGAGATTAAAGTTAAGATTTATGTTGAAATTAAGTTTAAGATTTAGTCAATTAAATTTTCAGTTCAGTTTTTAAAATTCAATTCACCAGACAAATATCTATGGCAACTTTTACTATGACTTTTTTATAATGCTACATGTTTTTAGTTTGGTTTTTTTTTTTCAGTGTATGAATACGCCTATGATTTTGTTTCTCTGTCAAAAATATATATTCTTTTGGTCTTATGAGTCCATAACCAGTATTAAACTGATCTCTTTGAATATAGTATATTTGAACATTATCTGATTGGCATATAGGACTAACCATATTTCATCTTTTATGTGACAAAGATTTTATTTTGTTCTTGTGATGGGTTAGCCTGTGATTTTTCTGTTTAGTATTTAAAGTTTTTTGTAATGACAGCGTCTCAAGGATGTGCAGTGGGATGATGCTGCAAATAACTTTTAAAACAAACAAAAAAGAATGTTTAAAGAGTGCTGGCTTTTTAAATGTTTGTACCTTTGGAGGCCCATACGCTTATTGCAGTTAGGGAAATTGCCCAGAATATTTTTAGAATTCTTTTGGATTGTTTTTCATTTTAGAATATCCTCAGTATTAGAGTAATAGCAAATTTTTTTATATTGAAGGTGGATTGGGTTTTCAGAAATACCCCTAGACTTTGGAGGGAGGGTATTGGGAAGAATGCAGGCTGGGGTGGGTCCCTAGAATAATGGATTTTTTTTGGTACATCAAACTATGAATGATGTCTGTATCAAAAAAGAAGTTTATATATTTTTACATGTATACATATATATAATAATCCTCATTGCTTTTTAAAACTTGTATAAAGGTAGTTCAGTCTATTTTCAGCTTAACAATTATCTTTCAATTGTTGCAAAAATAAGTTCTTTTTGAAACTAATGTATTGTTGGCTACTATATTTCATGATCATTAAATTTTGAATCTGTGTTTGTGTAATGATATTTATGTTATTTGCTTTATAATTTTTATTAACAAGTTTATCAATGTTTTCTTTAATAAGTGCCTCTTTCCATTGTTAATGATATAAATATGCTGCTTTTTCAATAATTGAATCTTCATTTTCTTGAATAATAATTCCATTTTTACCTCATAACTTTTAGCAAATTCAAAGTGCCATCACAGGTACACTCAGTCCCCAGGGGATAGTGGTGCCAGCATCAGCATTGCAACAAGGAAATGTAACCATGGCAACAGTGGCAGGTATGACAGGAAGAAAAAGTGAATCGGTTTTGTTTCATTTGATTGGGTGTTCTTAACATCATATAACTAAGAAAGAGCATGAATTTTTTTCATTAATAGTTTTCTCTTTGTTAGTTCCAGATGCGGCATAACTGAAATGAATGCATGACTCTTGTGCTTGTTGTCTATCAAGCATACTTGATGCAAAATGATTTTTTCAGCTAATCAAAGCCTGCAAATCCTTAAGGTTTCCGTAATTCTTAAAAATGCTACATAGCAAAAACTATCCACCATTTTCAAATAATTTAGTTCCTAGAGGGACAGTATAGCAAGCTAATTTCAGAGTCAAGAAGACTCTCAAATTCAATCTTGCCTCTTATTTTCTGGCTTGGTGACTTTGGGAAAGTCAGTCTTTCAGAGCCACCAAACAATTGAGTTGCAATTCTACATTGATACAGGGAGTTCCCTTATTAGGTGTTCCTTATACCAATGAAATAACAAGGCTAGTTTTTTGTTTTTTGTTTTTTTAAGAAGAGGTTTCTATCTGTATCATTCTATTGATATCATCTGGAATTCAAATATGAAATGAGTTGCTGCCACTTCATAGAAAATACAGTTAAATTAAAATGCATAGTTGTAACGTTAAGAATACTATAGATGTTTTAATAGCACAGCCAAAACAGATATAGAAAGGCCAACTTATTCTATTCTATTTCAAATATTTTAAGTATTCGTTACAACTAACCTATACTCCTTCATCCAGGATTATAGTGATTGTACTTTTCTACTTTTATATTCAGTAGGTTGACTGATAGCCATAGACCTATTTGAGACTTGCTTTGTTGCAGCAGCACTTATTCCTAGAGGTAATAGGGACAGAATAGGTAAAGAAAGAAATTGGAAAGAAGAAAAAATTTGGGAAAAGAGTAATCAGGATCATACAGGAAAATAATTCACCTGGAGTTCCTCTAGCCATTGGCATCTTCATTTCCTCAGCCACTTGGAGACAGTGGAAAGAGCCCTGTTTTCAGAGTTAGATTTCACTCCAGTCTTAGTTCTGTGTCTTACTGCCTGTGTGGTCCTAGGCAATTCACTTCAGCCTCTAAAATGTACAGGAAAAGAGGATTTCCCAGGGAGGGCTCATGTTGTGCAGGGTTTTATTTATGAAGTCCTGTGAGAAACAAGACTTGCCACTAACTTCCTCACTTCTCAGATTGTGATAGTTGACTATCTGAAATATTTTGTATTTTCAAGAAATTGCAAAACAGGTGGGAAAAAAGGTGTTTCGTGGAGTTTCTGTGGGAAAAGTTACACGATCAAGGTTTAACCTTCTACCTATAGTAGGTATTCAGTAAGGAATTTTGTTAAAAGTAGAAAAGTACAATCACTATAATCCTGGATGAAGGAATGTAGGTTAGTTGTAATGAATACTTCAGATATTTGAAATAGAATAGAATAAGTTGGCCTTTCTGTATCCGTTTTGGCTGTGCTATTACTTGATTTTAATTTAATTTTAAGTTTTTAATTGATCCATTACTTAGGAATTTTCTGATATATTAATAGGTATTCAGGCAGTAGCAAAGCAAATCTTGTAAAGGTACAAACTTAATGTTTTTTTCCTTTTTAAGGTGGCACAGTATATCAGCCTGTTACAGTGGTCACTCCACAAGGTCAAGTTGTTACACAGGCATTGTCACCTGGAACCATTAGGATCCAAAATTCACAGGTGGGTTTAATTCTCATGGAGTGATGTGAAGGTTGGTTTGATTTTTGGCTGCTGTGAGTGGAGGGTCCAAAGATTTGAGCAATACTACAGTAATTAGTATTAAATCAGACTGAATTTTATGTAAGTAATCTCTGTGGCAAATGTTAATTGGAAAATATTGCTGATGAGATTTCAATTCATGCAGCCTGGCACTTTAAAGAGTAGCTGTGACATACTTTTTAAAGCAGTTGCTAGTATAAATAAGAGAATTGAACAGACTCTATAGTAAATAAATGTCTTTATTTTTGATGATTACTTTCTCTTAACTTTAAGGAAGTATTGATGATGAAAACCTAACTTACAATGAAGTGATATTATTGAATAGTTTTTAGTTTTGATAAAGATTAAATCAGAAACAGTTTGTAGTTTTCAGTTTTTTGTATTAGAAACACTTATTTTGTGTATGTAAGAGGCAAAATGGCAAACTATATGGAGAGCTAACCTTAGAGTCAAGAAGGCCTTGGTTCAAATCCTGCCTCAGACACAATTCAGCAGGGAAAATCGTTTAATGTCTCGGTGCGCCAGCCAACTCTCAAAGACTATTAAGTTGAAGAGAAGGTGCCAGTCCACATGTCAGAAGAATTCTTCTGGTGGTGTTTTCCTTGCACTGATGAAATTACAGGTCCAGTCTCCCTCCATAATGTTTCATGTAAGACATGTCTGTAAGCACTCTTATTATAAACCTCTTATTTTAAATTCCAAGGTTTCTGAATGTTTGTTTTACCACATATAAAATTCTCAGGTTGCTTAAGAATCTAGTTTTAGGATAATGGGAGAGAACCCATAAGAAAAAAGTGACAGATGAAGTAGAAATTATATTCCAAGAGTAGTTTTTAAAAAATTGAATGTGGGCTCATTTGCTACATTGTTTGAAAGGAAGATTATAGCTGCCATGTGCAGGAGTTCATTAGGCAAAGCATATTCTCATTGTATTGAGTGAAAACTTAAAATCAGCTATCTATAGTGGCTGTCACATTTAGCTGTGTCTCACAAAGGTACATTTTTCAGCTGACTGAATCTTACTTTTAAAATTTTAACAGTCACATGTCTCTCTGCTTTCTTAAACAGTGTACTTTTAACTTTTTTTTTTTTTTGGCTCCCTCACAGCTAAGCTGTAGTCAGGGTCTGTTATTCCTTTGTCCACTCCCAAGTCGTCCTTGGCTTTCAGAAGAAAGGTAAAGGTGTAGTTGAGAGAAACATCCTGGGAGTAAATTGCCTGCATTTGATGCTTTTTGTGTTTGCACCACAGCTCCCAGTAAAGCAGGGCTAGAGGTGAAAACATTGCCCTGTGGTGGTGCTGGGATTAGGGTGAGCAATAATATACATCATCACCTTTCCTTTTGTTCCTATGGCTGTAATTAAGGAGGTGTAGGGCTAGAGAGACACTCCATTTAAGTTAGCTGGTGATGATGGAGGGTTATGTGGTGTGACAGAAATCTGCTCTCTTTGATAGTCTGCTGTGTGAGTGGAAATTTCAGCATTGTCCCTGAGGATTGCAGTATCTCTCAGTGTTAATGATGCAAAGGATAGAGAGGTTTCCACAAGCTTTCCTTTCTGTATTGGACTTGGCTAACCGAACTGGGACCACTTTACCATGAACCTAACAAATCCATTCCCATGATGTATTCAATGATAGGATTGTACTCCTGATCTCATCCTTTTCCCCAGCAATGTTCTTTGCCCCTCATGTGGTAGTTTCTCCAAAATCTCCTACTTCCATGGGGGTTCTCATGTTTCACCTGAGTGTACTTCCTAGGGATTTGGGTCTCCTGAATTCCTTTAGAATAGCTATCTTATGAATAGTAGGCTCCTTCAGGAGTCTATTAAGTATGATTTAGAGATATATAATATCCAGTTGACCCTCAAAGATGCCTTTTTCTGCTCAGTAAACTGTTACCTGAGGATAAGGCCTCTGAGCCCTCATTAGTCTTATAGTAAGAATAAAGCATCTTTGGGAAGCTCAGCCACCTTGGTCTTAACAATCCGAATCTCATAAAGACAGGATACTGAGGGCATTGAGGAAATCAAGCAAGACACCAGGGCCAAGGCCCCCCTTCTGTCTCTTCCCTTGGCATTTCTTGTCCTAGTAGCCATCAGTCTCTTTACTGAACATATGTTTTCATAATCAAGTATATAATTGCTCTGTTCCTTTGATGTAGACTTCCTGGGAGAGCAACATTGAATGGTTCTACTTAAACTGATCTGCCTTTTGTTTAGCATTTAGGAGTGTATCTGTGCAATCCTGGATTGGGGAAACTCCCAGTTAGTGACTGCTTCCAGGCAGGATGAGTGCTGCCTAGGAACTTGGTTCTAATGGCTACTAAGGCCTTCAGTTTGTAAGGAGGTGGAAGCTTCTTCAGATAGTCAGTAGTGTATAATTAATTGAAAACCCCTAACTTTTTTAAAACGGAGAACACCTTCCTAATTCTGTTTTCAGAATTAGGTAAGCAGAGGACTCACTTTAGGAAGCCAATCTTACCTGATTCTTGGCCAAACCTGCTGAAACAGATATGCAGTTTTTCTAAAAAAAATTGTAATGCTATCTTAAACAGTATATGGCATCAAAATCATCTGGCAACAGGGAATCCTCATTTATTGCTTCCAACTTACAAAATCTGGCTCTTGTGAACAGATTTTCAAGGACGGTGCCTGTTGCCCATAAGTGAATAAGATACACATGTAAGGCCTCCTCCAGCTGGCAATATTTGATCTTCAGGCAACTAATTTCCTTTCCAAAGCACTTTCTAGTCTTTCTCATTTCAGGACTCACTTTGGTATAGTGATTTATCAGGTCCCAGTCTGAGGTGGGGTGGGGACTAGGGCTAAGATTGCATTTTTTAGCATTGCTTTGCTGAGATTGGGAGTGTTACCACTTCTTTTTTTTAGTTTATCTGAAACATAATTATTTCTGCTCTAGAATCTCATTTTAATTCTGTGAATATTTGTTTTAAGCGTAAATGAAATGTTGTTGGATTCTGTTTTTTAATACATTATGTCTTACACTTTACTTCCCGACATGTACCACTGGCTTCTTGCTATTTCATGAACAAGATACTCTCTTCTCAGCTCTGGGCATTTTCTGTGATTATCTCCCATGCTTGGAATGCCCTCCATCCTCATCTTTGCCAGCTTACTTCCCTGGCTTTTTTTTTTTTTTGGCTATGCAATGGGTTAAGTGAGTTGCCCAGGGTCACACAGCTAGTAAGTGTTATGTGTCTCAGGGTGGATTTGAACTCAGGTCCTCCTGAATCCAGGGCCAGTGCTCTATCCACTGTGCCACCTAGCTGCCCACCTGGCTTTCTTTAAGTCCCAACTCAAAATCCATCTTCTATAGGAAGCCTTTTCTAACCCCTCTAAATTCTACCATCTTTCCTCCTTTTAATTATTTCCTATTTATCCTGTATATAGCTTGTTTGTAAATATTTGTTTGCTTGTTGTCTCCCCCATTAGATTGTGAGCTCCTTGAGGGCAAGGACTGTCTTTTGCCTCTGTTGGTATCCCCATTGCTTAGCACAGTGCCTGCCACATAATAGGTACTTAATAAATGCTTATTGACTGACAGTTTTGCTATCTTCTATAGGTAAATTAATTACATTCATATTATGGTTATAACAGTTAACTGTATATTTCCTTTTAACATATCCTCATATACTTCCCTCTTTCCTCCTCCCCTCCTTACATAGAATGTGATAAAAGTGAAGCAATGTGAACAACTCTTGAGATTTGTAATTGAAGGTATCTGCTTCCACTCCACTAGCCCTTTCTCTCTTTCCCTTGCAATGACTCCATTACTAATTCTTATACTTTTTTTTCCTTTTAATCCTCCCTTTATCATCAATCCTTTAAAGTTGATGTTTGTTTCCCTTGTGACTATTCCTTCCCCACTTCTTTCCTTTAGAGTAGTTGCTTCTAACTTATCCTGACTAGGATTCCTTAGTCCTTAAACTATTTCTTTCTAGCATTGATTAATTGATTGGCTGCTATTGAAGATTACAGAATTTTATTTTTTACCTAGAAGCTCTGGTTTTTGTCTGACATTCGTGAGAGTTTTCATTTGAAGGTTTCTTTCAAAAGATGACCAGTTGATTCTTTGATTTGATTTGATTTATTTGATTTTTGACTTTGCCCTCTGATCCTAATAAATAAAGACAGTAATACTAGCATTTATATGGTGCTATGTGCCAGGCACTGTGCTCAGTGACTTATAAATATCTCATTTTTATCTGGACAGTTTTTACTTATGACTTCTTGAAATATAATGTGCTTATGGTCATGGTTTTTAAGAAATGTGATGATTCTTATATTTTCTCTCCTGAATCTGTTTTACAGGTAATTTCTCTTTTGATAATAGACATGTTACACATTCTTCTGTTCTTTTAGTTGCTTGATCTTTTATTTTCTACTTCTTACCTAATGGAATCATTGAGTTCTGTGTGGTCCATTCTAATTTTTTTTTTTTGGAGTCTGTTATGTGGACATGGTTTTCTTCCTTGTATTTTAAACTGCTTATTCCTCCTTCTAATTCTTTTCTCCAGAGCTCTTATTTCATCTGTAATTCCATTTTTTCTTCCAGGTTCTTCTGTCATCTTTATTACAAAGTCATTTTTTTTTTCTCTGAGCCACTATTTGCAGTTGTGAAGTTACTCTCTGTTTCTAGGTTTACCTCTTGGGTATCTTTTGATCCATAATGTTACTTTATAGAGTGTTCAGTGAGTTGAGACTTTGTACCAAGGTCAGGCTCTGCCTCTTCCTATACTCTTGAATGATGCTGACTTTGCTTTCCTAAATTCTTGCTCCTGGCTTCCACTTTCCTTGGTGAGTGTGCTTTCAATGTTACCAGGCTTCAGTGTGGCTGGTCAGAGCTCTGGAGTTAGCTATCCTCAGATAAGCTACTCCATGATCATTCTTCCCTGGGCCTTCTTCCTTCCCCTGTCAGTTAACAAGGATTATAACAAATGCTT